GAAGCACATTCGCTTTCATGTTTGCTTCGAATGACTTTGGTAAATGGACATTTGTTTATGTGTGCCGCGCAGCAAAATAAATGCTTCACAACAAGCCACAGCAGCATAGGACATATTCGAAGCGAAAGCTGCTAAATACGAAGGGGAAAAAAACGTGTTGCGTGACTTTAGATCAGATAACTACAGAGTACATAGACGCAATTTGAGTGACAGCTTAGCTAGCGATAGAAGAGGATTAGAAATGAGCGCTGGCAGATGGGTACGATGCGGCCGATGGGATGCATCAACATATAAATTCGTATTCAGATTAGACTGTAAATCATTTTCGTATATATTGTAAATCGTAAAGCCTAAAGAGGATGCGTAAATTCGTAAATTCAAAAAAAAGGTGAAGGGAGGAAAAGCTTGCCATTTACTTTATATCATCACTATCCATTTAGTTTGCAAATAGGTCTAGAACACGAAGAGAAGACAATCTCTTATTATCTTAGACAACTATATTACTGCAAACTATCAAATTCATTCTAGAGACATTCTAAAAGTCATACGAATGTTAACAATCTGATTCGACTCTTATGCTAACTTTAACCCTTTTCTGTTCCGAATCGTTTGTAAATCCCGAATTAACAGAAATTCAAGGAGAGATTCGTCTGATAAAAGCTATAGATTTTCTTATAGTAGATATTAGCAAAGAAAGCAATGACTAGATTACGCAGAGTAGGATAGTTTCAGACAAAGGCTAAGCAATAAGAAAAAAAAAGAAAATTTATCACATTATATTGAAAACTACATTGAAAAGAAATTTTCGTAATTTGAGTGGTTTAAAAGGTCGTGCAGATAATACCTAAGCAAGGGCTTTATTAAAGAGTAAAACAAGATCATGCAAAGAAAAAGTATAGCATACGATATTTCTAGGTTTGATGATTCTCCCCACTTGTAACAATAAAACGAAAAAAGTAATAAGAAAGACTTGTCGAAATAAAAATAAAAATTTTTCTTGCCAAAGATTTCAAAAAGTGAAGAGATAAGGGAAAGATTTCTAAGTAGAAAAGCTGGATTTCACCAAAGTAGAAACCGCAGCCTCTTCCACAAATGAAGCTTATACTGATGAAGCTTGTTTCGAAAAAAAATTTGATAAGAAATGAGGTTTAAAAGGTTCAGTTCATACAAACACACGATTGTGAGTGTTGTGTTACTCGTTAATATTTGATGTATGCATTTTTCAGCAGAATCAAGGCACAGGAAGGGAAGGGCACGGGAAGTTCTAAGAAACTAGGAACTATGTATGTGCATAGGAGAATAGTTTGGCGCTGCTCAATTATGCCAAGCACAGTTAGAAAGAAAGGAAGAAGAGCAAAAGTCCCGTTACATTTTGGAAAAAGCAAATAATTGCATTTGAAAAATAGCTGGAATATTTCAATATT